CCTCAGCTTCTGCATCAGCGGAAAGGTTTCGCAAGGCCTCACTAAACCCATTGTCGTATTCTCGATAATACTCTAGCTCCTCTTGCTCATCGAAGTCATAATTTGCCAAGTGCTCTTCCCGGACCGGCTCGGCCGGCTGAGAAGGTACATCGCCCGGCAGCTCCTCGCCAGGGCCCTGGGCATCCTCCAAAGAGGCTAGAATGCTTTCGGAAGCGACCGGAAGCTTCGGTTCTCCGTCTTCCAAAGCGATGGGACCCACACTCAACGGTCCCTTCTCCAACAACACCCCTGCAACTCCTGAAGCCAACCCCACATTGTTCGAGGAAAGTGCGGGATCTGAGGAGGCGGAGACATCGGGTGCGGCCATCCCTGGGTGGCAGCAGCACAAAGCAACTGAGGCAGGACTTGGGTATTCACAAACCAAGATGTCTGCAGAAGCAGCAAGCGCTCCTGGCAGGGCAGAAAGGCCCAAATGGTTGCAGTTACTGCAGAATCGTCGAAGAGGTCTTCGAAGCACGCAAGCACTACACTAGAAGAGCCCGAGGCGGGGCTGGCAGACTCAAGCGGCCCGTGCAAGCGGAACTCTAAAGCCGTAACTCGAAGTTGCAAAGAGGAGATCTGATCCTGTAGGATATCGTCGACAGCCCGCAGGGAGCTGGGGTGCACCACCGACGAACCCGCACTGGTGGCGGAGGTATGGCTCATACAAGGAGGCTGCACCTCGTGATAGCACCCGGAGCCTGCTAGAATGTCTAGGAGCTTAGAAGGCCTCGAATCAAAATTTTTCTTTTTGAGCCGCTGTGGCTCACACTGCACGGAGATGTATTCTGCTGCACCAAGTCTCATCAGAAACGAAACTCCCCCGAGTTTCTCAAATCAAGAATTTTAAAACGCTATCAACAAGTTGACCGCCAGCTTATTGACCTAACCCTTACCGCAACCAAAACCGGAAGGCTCAAACCTTTCAGGCTGTGTCTCAACAGCAGGTTCGCCAGAGACACTTTGTGTGTGGGAATGCTCAATGGCTTCGAAACCAGAGCCTTTCCTCAAAAGCTCAAGGACGCTTTGTGCGAGGACGAGTATGAACGGTGCGCTCACGCGAAGGTTCACGGGAACAGCTTGCACTTTCTTCGGCTTCTTGGTCGGAGTGCTCGCTGCTGCTCGCAGCCACGGCTGAGTCTGAGCGGATCTGTTGCTTGACTTGGCGCAAGCGCTTCCGCAAGGCGCGCTTTTGCTGAGCTTTATGCGACCGCTTCTGGGATCGGACGCGCTTCTTGACAGACGGATGGCCTTTTCCAGGCTTACCTGTGACTCTGCCTTTGGGAGTGACGCCTTTCGAAAGGCGGGAGGTGGTGTCAGTCACACCAAAACTTTGCGACGAGGCTGGTCCTAGATGTGCTGTGGTATCCCGATGTCGCCTTGCTGGCGGTGGAGTTGGTGGCGGCCACGGAGGTGCCACTGACTGTCGGTCGTGCTGGACACGAACAGCTCCGCGTAACCATGCGCGCGGGGCAAACGCTGGGACGTATTGGGCTCACTACTCACTTTCTCCGTTGGCTAGGACCTGCAAGGCTACACCGGTCACATGCATGTGGTCATGCTTTTCATGACGTGGTTCGTGGTACATGTACAACACTCAAGCATACTCAAGCTACAGCGTTTATACATGAGTACGCTTCGTAAACGCTCGCATTTTCGCTCGGCAACCCAACAAACCCGAGCGGGGGCAGGCGAGGGCATGGTCCCCGTACTCGTCCATCCGGGGCCGCTACGGTTTGGGCTAAGCGGTAGGAGCAAGCGCAAGCGGCGCCGCAACGCGAGCTGCATGGCCTGCGGGGCGAGGGTTAGTGCTGGTTCGCTCAGCACTGCCGATAGCCATGCACCAGCGTGTGCCCCGCCTTGTGAGCGTAGCAAGGCCCGAGAGAATGGCAGCAGCAGCAGCAGCAGCAGCAGCACACAGTCGCGATAGTGAAGGTTTCGAAGGACGTCACGTTGCAGAGCAGTGACGCCGTTTGCACGGAGCGACTGCAAACATAAGATGAGCAGTGTCAGCCGGGCTGGTGACATTTTTTTGAACACGATGTCATACACGGTGTTATACACGATGATATACACTATGTCGTTATCTTATACATTTTTCGTACACTACTATACTGTATGTTATGCACGACAATATACACTATGTTATGCAGTGTGCTATACACTACGTTACACACGATGCTTTACGCTAAACGCTAAACTATACACTACTATACACTATGGTATACACTACTTTTCAAACTTTTTTCTCCGACAACAACAACAACAAGCGGTCCCAGTGCTACAGTTGCGACTGCGTACTACGAAAATCTTGTTCTGCCGCAGCGGGCTAGCAACTGCCGTCCGTAGTAGCTTTGGATGGAACGTGTCGTGCGACACCGGGAAACATGGAAGTTGAAGCTGCAGCTGGTACTGTGGGAAAGCTGGCGAATTAAAGCTCGTGCTTTCATTGACCAGTAGGATGCTGAGACTCAGCTCCGCGCAGCGGCGCTACCTTCACGGCTCCGCCCCGCATTTGCGTGGACAGCGGGTCGCCACCTGCGCATGCCTCGGCTGCACATCCAGCCACCCAGGTCTGCTTCCCTGTTCTTCTTCTACAGGCGGAGCCTCTACCGTGCTTGAAACACATCGCCTTCACAAACCTAGAAACGTGCGCTTACACACTTAGCTTGGCGCGGATATATTTAAAGCAAGCAAAGTGGGCACGCACTGCGCGCATTAAGTCCGGTTTTTTTTTTGCGTATGTGGGCCTCGTCGACTACAGCTGTAGCTCTCGGTCCCAACAAACAAACAAACCATCAAACAAACGAAATACAGCGGTGAAACAATCTAATTAAGAGGACAAAACTAGCTGCGGCGCACAGGCTTTACCTGCGGTAGCCGTTCAGCAACAACTACGGGTCCTCAGCGATCGTTCCACAACAACAGTGGGCCGTCGCCCAAAGCTGTCCAGAACCATCCATGGAGCCCAATTCAAGGCTCCGGCCGCCGTTCTAGTTCCGTCGAACAACGGACGGCCCCGAGGTAGTGTTGTGTCCCGATCGTGCACGGCAAAATCCACAAGTCCAATTTCCATGGCCAGGAGATGGTAAGAACCGTCGACGTATGTCGACAGGTATGGACACGTGGCCGACCAAGGCAGTAATCGAGGCTCTGGCTCCTAGGGCGAAGGCCATCGATCCAGCAGACCCTGCATGTCATTGCCATCACTCGGGAAGTGAGATTCCCGAAGGAGGTAAAGCAAATGGTACTGCCCCTTTGTGTCGACGTCGGGTTCATGCAGGTGCGGCATGAGCGCATCGGAAATGAATGGAATCTGGAGGCCTGGGCCAAGTCCACCCTGTTTCTTGAAAGCCTCGGCCGCAGCACGCCACTCATCCTGGCCCCTCGGGTGCCCTAACCGATACCAAGGTTGACTACCGTCAGGCATGGTACCCTGATTGGCTTCCTGTGCCACCAGGCGATGGATCAGAACTTGGGCCCGGCAGTCCCATGCATCGAAGTAAGCATGGCGCCACAGGCGCTCAGGGAAGTAGAAATCCATTTTCCGAGGGCCGCGCAACCAAAACACCACAACCGCACCAAGATCCCAGCCTCGAGTAATGGCTGCTGTGCGAAGTCGGCACAGTGCACCGTGTAAAAGCCCAGCGGACTGAAGTGGGAGAGTGGGCTGGGCCCGCAATCCCAAGGAGGCAGAGTCCAAGGGCAGCAGGAGGCGAAAGGTGCCCCTACATATGCCAGGGTAGGAGAACATTTGCGGGTCGAAATCGCCGCGCCTTGCAGGAAGAATTCCTCGGTGGAAGCCTTCCATCATACGGGCAGCAATCGCAATTTGGGGCTTGCCCACCAACGATGTCGGCACTTCTACCTTGACCCTCTGTTTTCGCCTTCTTGTTTTGAGGTTTGAGCCGAACGCTAAACCTTCTAAAATTCGCTCCTTCAAAAGTGGACGAATATATGCCCGTCAGAGTCATATATAAAAGAGAATATAAATTCAATCATTCAGGCACTCGGACGAAGACTCTTTTCCCGGATGGTGGTGGATGTCCCCTCGTCGGAGGGAAGGCAGGCACACCTGGTGTGCGAAGCCTCGCCCCCTCTCCCTGAGTCACCAGGGCGTGCCTTCGCGCTTCCTCTTCGGGACACGAGGCTGTGAAAACTGCTTGCAGACTGCAGCGCCTTGCGAGACGCATCGAAGTCAGACTTCGACAACCACAACTGATTCAAGAGCTCAAGTGGTAGCTCACTGAAACTGACATCTAAGCGGTGTTCGGAACTGAAAGAGCAGAAATCCTGATTCGTCAGAGCATCTGCCAACTTGTTTTCGTCGCGAGGTTTCCAAATCAAGCTGAGCCTCAAACAAGCTTTCCTTAAGAGGTGTGAGAGCTGCATGTTGATAAGCATGAGTGGCCACTTAGTCGTGGACTGCTTTCTAAGAAGCTTCTCGTTGCTCTGATTGTCTGTGGCCCCGGCAATGGCAACTGGGAGTCGCCTCCGTGAACTATTCTCTTTAAGGTGTCCGAAGATCCACAAAGCGGCCAACGTAGCTAACAGCTCGGCTGAAGCTGACGCCCATTGTGATTTTCCCCCTGGGTTCCCCCCCATTGTACTCGAGCTATTAACCCTATGGGCTTCAGCTTGAAAGGTTCAGGGTTAGGGTTTACTCTAGAGCTATATATAGCTTTCAGAGCCATCAAGGGTTCAGGGTTAGGGTTTACTTTAATGCTATATACAGCTTTTTCAGAGCCATGGCTACTCGTCTGGATCGTTTGATGCAAGTCCAACGGAAACCGAGCAACAAGCGAGTGTGTGCTGACTCGACTGCGTCGGTGTCAGATGTGGAAAAATACCTCACCAAGCATTTAAGGGACAAGAGCACCACAGACATCTGGTCATGCATCGTTCCGGGCCCGGATGGACCCCGTACATGGAGTTTCAGAAAAAGCGCTGATGCCCGGTGGATGGCGAGATTTCCCGCCCTGGCCTTTGACCTGGTCAGCGATGTTTGTCGAAATTCCAAGGTACTCAGCAGAGTTATGATTCCAGCAATCGAAGCTTGCATGTTGAACAATGTCGTTACCAACAACAGCGGCCAGGACAAGAACAAGTTCACTGTCTCTGTTGATATCACGATCAGAATATTGCTCAGCTGGTTTCGCCGGCTGAAAGTTAACAAGCAGAAACGGGAAGCCGCTTTCAGGCGGCTTTCTGAGGCAGAGAAAGCCAAAGTCACACTGGTCATGGAGAAGATCGAGCTGAATGACGAGGAGGCTGAAGAGGCTGCCAAGGACGAAGATGGCTCTGACTCCGATGTGGACCTGACCTTTATGGTTTCTCTTGATTCCCTGTGTGCGACAAACACAGCAGTGGATCATGACTCGAAGACCTCTGTCGAGATCTTCGCGAGTGAGGAGAGTTCTGGATTGCACCGAATGTTCGACAGTGTCCTCAAGTCTCCTTCCACTCCTCCTCTTTCTGGTGGTGCTCCTTCCGGTTCTGCTCCTTGCGGTTCGGCTCCTTCCGGTGCTGCTTCTTCCGGTGCTGCTGCGGGTGACTCTGAGCAACTTGGATTTGCTTTGGCCAGAAGTCGCAGGCCTGCATTCACAGAGATCAAGACAGCTTCAGGATCGAAGCCGAAGGCCAGCAAAGGCCAAGGCCAAGACCAAGACCAAGACCCAAAGCCCAGACGACGGCCGTGGTTCAAAAGAAACTCAAGTCGAAGATGGTTCAAAAGAAACCGGCGGCTGCGGCTCGTGTCTTTCGAACCCGGCGGCGGTGGCAAAGACCGTGCCCGGTCAGGCCAGCAAATCTTTACTGCTCCGGATGGGCTGAGTTTAGGGTTGTGATGTGCGACAGAGGGTTCCGACTGAGAGGATTGCTATCTATGAGTGGCTTGGCACGAAGAGAGGCTGTCAGCTTCTGCGTCCAGAGTGGATCTGGCTTCAGAAGCGAGAGCAGCGATTGCTCGGAAGCTCATGGACATGCTGGTTACTTGCAAATCCCTGCAAGATGTAATTGCTCTGATGTTGGAGAGGATACAGCACGTGCTACTCTCTGCAGTTGATGCACCGAAATCGTTCGTCTCCTCAAAAATATTGCCTCCGAACTCGCACAGAGTCCGGTTTGGACTCGTCTGCTGGAGAAGTGTGGACTCGTCTGGTTGAGAAGTGGAGGCCGGAGGGTGCAGGTCGTGGCGCTTTTCGCGGGTTTCGGACTCTGTTCCTGTGACTTCGATTTCCTTCTCCGAATTCTTGGAGTCTAGAGGACGAAGATGTGTGTTTTTGGGTTCGCGGGGTCAAGAGAGAGTTCTCGGGTTAAAGAGCTGGCAGGTTCGTTTTTTGGGTTTATGGAGTTAGAGTCATAAATGTAAGGGCAGAGTGAGTGAGTGAGTAAGTGCGTTCAGGGGAGGGATGTGCCACCCGAACTCCATGTCACGTGCAGTCATGGTAAGTAACACCAAGCTCCCACTGTGAGTACAGACGACAGAGGGACAAAGACGCGTCCTCCAAGAACAATGGCCGACTGACATATGTCAGAGGAACAAAACACACAAGAGTGCAATCACCGCGAAGTCGAAAGTCACTTTTTACAAACACTTACAGCGATCCAAACTTGGGTTTGCACACACTTTCGAAGTCTTTGGAACCTTTTGTACGTGTCACAGGACTACAACAAACAAAACTTCCACAGCAAAAAAAGCTTCTTCAAGACTTTGTATGCTCCACTAAATAGCCAGTAAACGAGCAGCCAGTAAAGAAGCTATGAGCAGCGCAACTTTAAGCGGCTTCAAGTGGACGCAGAAGTCCCCAAAAAGCAAAAAACAGATTAACGGCGAAGAGCTTGAAGGTCTTCTTTTGGCGGCGCAGCTTGGCTTCTTTGCTCTTCTTTAAATCTCTCTTAAAGAAAAGGTCTAAAGTGATTTTCGACCTTTTGTGAGAAATTTGAAGGGTTGGACTTTAAGAGAGCTTTAAGAAAGACTTAAAAGGGCTTTAAAGAAAACTTGAAATTGAGAGAAAGGCTTCAAAGGAAGCAGAAACTTGGCATGGACGGGCCTCAAAGACAGCAGTTGGTGCACTTGGTTCCAGTGAGAACCACAAAAATGTCGCAGCAAAGAAAACTACTGCAGTCCAAAAGCCTGTTCAAACGTGTTAGCCACCTTAACCTCTTACTGCTTTCTTTCTTCAAAAAGAAAACGAAAAAAACCAAGTAAAGAAACTATTGTTGCAGCAAGTGTGAAAATATGAGCATTGTTGGAGTTTGGATGGACTGTGCGTGTTTCTGTGTCCATCAAAGCTGGAATGTGTGTGTGTGTTTCTTGTGTGTATGTTTGTAGGTGTGTGTGTGTGGAAAAGCTGGAAGTGGGAGTGTGGTCAAGTCAACCTGTGTGTGTGTTGTCTGTGTGTGTGTGTGTTGTCTGTGTGTGTGTGTCTATGTGTGTGTGTGTGCATGTGTGTGTGTGAGAAGTGGAGGTGTGGATGTGCTGTTTCTAAAAATGTTGCATTCTTTGGATTTTGGCGCGAACAGCTTGTTGGAAAATCCAGAATTCCAAGTCACGGCAACCTGGAGCTGGAATAAGGAAGATGATCGACGGAACTTTCTTCATCCAGAGCAAAACCCATGAAGAGACCTGCGGCTGCAGCTTTGCAAAACATGTTTGAATCTAAATACTGTAAGATGCCGCGATGTGCGTACACTGATCCTTGCCAGGAAAGTCCACAGCGAAAAAGAGGCAGACAAGCAACTTTTTGAGCAAATCGTCTTTGATCCAGTGGACGGCATTGACCTCTTCTCCCAAAAAACTGCTTGAAATTCTGATTGACTTGGACATGGTGCAGGATGGAGGACTTGATGCTTGCGAATGGTGTGCAGCCACAAACTGGCGTATCGTCCAAGGGAGACCACGCCTGTTTTCGATGCAAGAACAAGGATTGCAGTCGGGTTTGAGCGAAGACCAGCCCTTCGTTCCTTGGTTGGTGCTCTTTGTCTGTTTTTTGCACCCATTCAGATGAGTCCAGATCAGACTGGATTGATCTTGGGTTTGGATCATCGAACTGTGCGGGGTCTCTTCAACAACTTCCGCTTTTGGTTAAGTCCAATAGTTGACCGGGTGAACGAGGACTGACAAACTTTTGTGCTTGGCTTGATTCTTAAGGCCATGACAAGATTTAGAAGTTGTAGTTGCAACTTTAAAGTGCTCGATGAAGGACTTGGTGATTGGTGCGTTGGGTGCAGATGTGGAGCTCGATGAGATTAGCTTCAGATCGAAGGTGCTTTACGACAAAATCCTATGGAATCGTTATGCCGCAGCCGTCAAGCGTGGAAGTGCTAAAGTCTTCATAGAAAAGTTGCCGAACCGCTTGACTGCTGCTGAGCAGGGGGGAGGGGGACCTCTGTCCATTGATGAGACAAAGAAGCTTGTAGTCACATCCAAGGGAAGCACCCGCTTGGCACAAGGTTCTGTGTGCCATACGGATTCCGCTAAAGCTTACAAGAAGTTGGCCTCTGACGAACCGTTGCCAGCTTTGTACAGCGGTGCCTTGGCAGGGCCTTCGTTTTCTGAGTTGAAGCTAGCCCACAGCAACGTCAAGCATAAGCCGCCTCACCCAGAGTTTGCCCGAACGTTCCGAATGAAAGTTTGGACAGGGCGCGCTTGGACCGAAGAAATTAGGGTAGGTGGCACTCAGAAGCTTGATGGCTTCTTCGCATCGTTTAGAAGAAAGGTGGGCAAGCGGTCTTTCAACACAACAGGACCCACTCCTGAAACAGCGCAAACTTTCGAGCAGCAGCTTCACGAAAGGATGCGGGTGTTTCAGTTTTTGTTTTGGTTTTCCTATGCAGACTGTTTCCAAGTTTTCGCAGCACTTCGCCAGGCTGAGCGAACAGCTGTCGGAAGTGCTTCTTGGGAAACTCTAAGGCCATTTTTGGGTGATGGAAAGGCGCCAGCTGCCGAAAACCTGCAACTTGTTGAAGGGCAAGTTGCAGGGGCAGCAGCTCCAAATGTCCAAGACATTCCGGCTGGTGGCGCTGATGTGCCCCCCGATGATGAGAATCCTTTTGCCGATCTCGAGAGTGAGCCCGAAGTTTGCGAAGTTTCGGATGCCGACACGTATGAAGGCATTCCAATTCGGTTGCTCAGCTGAAACCGCAAGTGCGCCGCTGCCAGCGCAGAAATATGCTTTGCAGCTCTTCTGTTTGAACTTTGCGAATTTTAGGACCTTTAGGACTTAGGATGTTCTGTTAGAGATTTTGTTTTTAGTTTTTAAGGAGTCGGCAAGACAACTAGGATATCAGGCCAGGGTAACTAGGATACCGACTTGGAGAGATTATGAGCTATTCCTTCCAGCCTTTGCAACCAACATCCCTTGTTTTTTCTTTGAGAACTTCAAGGCCTATATCTCCCACTACAAGGCCTGTAGGACTGTGTGACTGTTTGTTACACGAGAGGGGGCCTTACGACACGACGACGACGACGAAAACGACGGCTACACTGACGACACGAGGAACCTGGAACCCCAAGGCTGTAGGACTGTAGGACTGTGTGACTGTACGAGGAACCTGGAACCCCAAGGCCTGTAGGACTGTGTGACTGTACGAGGAACCTGGAACCCCAAGGCCTGTAGGACTGTGTGACTGTTTGTTACATTATTACGAGCCTACACGAGAGGGGGGCCTTTACGACGCGACGACGATGAGACTGTTTGTTAAAAGAGGTCTTTTCATCACATCAGGCTTCCCTGGTTGTTGTCTGTCAGTGCAAAATAATTTCGAACAACAGTCTTCAGCCAGTCATGTAGTCCACAGTTCACAACCTGTTGTTGCTGTAGGATTGTGGGACTGTAGGAATGCAGGACTGTGGACTGTAAGACTGAAGGCCTGCCAGACTGAATTAGTTCAGCCACTCTGCATAGAGGCGGGACCTGGTTTTGTAGACATACCACATCTTTTCCCACCTTCTCTTTGAAAACTCCATCCTCGGTGTCACTGGTGAGTCCCCTGGTGGAGTCGACTGTGAGTCACAGTGCATGAGGAGCACCTTGGAGCGAAAGTACACGTCTGTGGCCTGAAACTGCTCAACCAGTCGTATGCGCTTTGCCAGTCGTGTTGCCATTTTGTCAGATACCCCCTCCTCTTGAGAATCTGTCTCCATGGCACTGAATAGCAGTGGAACTGAGGACCGGGAGACAAGCTAGTGTGCTATGAGCAGAAAGCAGCAGAAACAGTACAATATGTACAGGTCCATGTGCAGTCTACCAGTCTTGCAGTCCAACTATCATGATACAGGCTACCCAGTCTGCTATTTTGTGGTAGTAGATGGACTGTGGGACTGTGAGACTGCACTGCCTGAAGACTCCTTGCAACATACGCAGACCACAACTGTCATACTTTTGAGATCTTGTCTCATGAGACTTGTAGTCATTGTGCAGTGGAGTTTTTCAGTCTTGCAGTTGAAAAGTCTGGTTCAACATATTGATTCTCTAGGACTGTAGAGGACTGCAAGACTGACTGTACTCCATGCACACTGCACAAGACAGTCAGTCTGTGCATGTGGCTATTGTACATGGGTCCCAAATACAGTTCAAAGTCCTTGGGCCCACAAGTGTGAACCTCCTCTTCAGCAGTCAGTCTGGCAGTGCAAAACCAACACAAACAAAACACACAACTGCTTGTTCTCAATCTTGGGACTGTAGACTGTGGGACTGCCAGACTGTGAGACTGCAGAAGGAAGTAATCAGTCCTGCATGCACTGGGCATACTCACGTAGTCTGGTCTTGAAGACAAAAAACTGTTTCTCCCAATCTCTCTTTGACATGTCCTCAATATCTCGTGGTGTCATCGGAGGACTGGGGAGACCAGGTCCAGACTTCTTGTTGTTCGAGTTCATATTGTTCGAGTTCATGTTGCCATCATTCTCTTTGGCAGCTATTTTGGCCACATTCGCTTTGGCGAGGTGATACATGTCGGTCTGCTTGAGATTGTTGAGAACTCTGCGTCTCTTGGACACCCTCTCACAGTATGTGAGTACCTTGCTGTCAAAAGGTACATCTCCGTCCATTGCGCCAGGGACTGTGAGACAGTGGGATAGTCTGAAGTCAGAAGCCAAAAAAACTGCTGGAAGGAATATATTCAGGGCCAGGTAAGTTTCTACACCTATAAGGTGTCAGTGTTAGGCAGGCCCCCAGTCCAGAATGTAGTCTCTTCAGGTGCAGGTCCACAGTCCCACTGTCCACACTGTCGACAGTGAGACTGTGGAACTGCATATGAAGTCCAGAACACCCAGCCTCTTTAAAACATACCTTCCAAGCCCACTCTGCCCCTCTACATCGGCGCTGCTGGTGCCGCTGCAGCAGCCGCTGTGCCCTGGTGCCCAGCATCTTGGACATCTTCCACGAGGCAGACCTGGGCAATCAGGTTTTTTCAGGGTTTTTGGAGCCTTATCAAACAAAGGAGGTCGACACGGCCTTGTCTTGAAAGTCTGGGTTTTTGGGTTTGTAGGGCTGTAGGACTGAGGGTTTAGGGGTTTTGGAGCTTCATAAAGAGGCTGACACAGCCTTGTCTTGAAAGGCTTTTTAGGACTGTAGGACTGTAGGCCTGAGGGTTAGGTTAGATTTTAGAGTAGTTGCAACCCTCTCTCCTGAAGGAGCCTTCTCCAAACCAAAGGCCGACAGAGCCTTGTCTCCAAATTCTTTAAACCCTAAACCCTAAACCCTTAAACGCTAGAGGGGTCCTTTACGACACGACGACGACGACCACGATACCAGACGAGAGCCAGAACCCCAGGGCCCAACCCTTAAATTCTAATAACTCTACACCCTAAATCTTTTAAAAGTAAACATGAGCTTGCAGCTCAGTGGGCTGCAAGACTGTGGCACTGACAGTGCAGCTACAACTGACAGTCAGTGCAAGAGTCAGTTTTCTCCGATGCGCCACATCTCTGTCTGGCTGTGTTAGCCGAGCTGACAAAACTGAGCTGGCAAAATCAGTCGAGGAACGACTATTTGTCGGGACTCAACTGCAGCTGCACCTACAAGCTCTACGTGTGCAGACAAGGGCCACAGTCTAACAGACCAACAGCAATAATGATTCATATGACTGGTGACTGTAGGACTGTAGGACTGTCTGGATCTTGCATCTACATCAGTGCAATGACATCCTTTGGAAGCTTGACTGTATCTTTCATACAAACACTGGGGTACATGCCCTTCAGCTTGTTGGCCTGGTCATCATACTCAAGGGCAAAGCAAATCTGGACCTGAGTAAGCTGGGACAGTACCACATAACTGGACAGCTTGGCAAAAGAGATCTCCTGCGGCGGGAAGGGACTGCTGCTATCCTCGCCTGGCTCTTCAATTGTACACTTGAGGCATGCCGGTTCCAAGGCCTTGACTGTCCACACAACATCTGTCCCCGTAGTCTCACTTTCACAACTGTGGAGGTACAACCCCACTTTTGGCAATCCTGCCATTGACATGGCATTGAGGATCCCCCCCAAGGCAGCCGGCTTCTCTGCATACTTCTGGAGCGCTGCTGGCAATGTGCTGCCATTCTTGGCCTTGAGCAAGGCTGCCGACTCTGCTGTGAGACTGTAGGCAATGATTGAATCAGAGCCTTCACTCAGCAAAGATTTGGCTTCATCTCCTCGCTTGAACCTGCCATGGACCACAAACATTTGGCCCTCCAGGTTCGAGTCTGTCAGGCCCTTGACATAGAGCTTTCCATCCTTGGACACAGCAAACTGATATGCTGTGATGCCAGGCGGCTGGCACCTGCCCATGTCTGGACTGATGGACTGTAGGACTGAAGACAGTGTCGATGATGCCCGGCTCGAGGTGTCCAACCTTGGAGATCTACAAATCAACATATCTGTTTTGAATGTTTACAAAAAAGACTAAGCCCCAGGAAAAACTATGTGACAAATCAGAATGCCATCTAAGAAACTCCTGGACTGAAACATCTGCATCACGCTTCGCACGGATAGTCCCTGAAGGGTTGAACTCATCATTGTGCTTCTTCAGAATGTCAGGCCACGACAGTCCCTTCCATACCTCTGTCTCAGGCAGAGTCACTTTGTTGCAACGCTTCCCTCTGGCAACTGTGTCGATCAGAAGCAGAAGCTCATTGTTCGGGGATGGCAAAGTCAACTTGAACTCTGAAAGGTTCAGGGTCGGACTGCTCGACTGTGGGACTGGGGCCTGTATCATGCCATCTGGAAGCTTGGCCAAAGGGTACTCACCACGTCCAATGGCACCCTTGACATGCTCTGCAATGACTGACTCAATGTTGGTTGCCACCTGCTCCTTGAATCCCTGGTTGCCAACCCATGATGAAGCAACATAGGCGAAATCAGGCCAGGACCTGGGGGTGACTGCATTGAGACTGGCACAAGTCACAGCCAACTCTGCATCATAGGGTGCAACATCCTTGACAATCACAGTGTGTGTTCGGTTCATCTTGGTGCCCTTCACAGCTGCCATAACAAGGTCCATGAGAAAACTTTTGCCTGAAAACCATTGCTTGCCTTAGATGCACACACACACACAAACACACTCATCAACCCCACACAGCAGCCACCACTATATGTGGAAGTCAAGACTCGCTCCAAGTCCATATCTCCATTGGTCGACCCAGCTTGTGCAAATGAGAGGTCCTTGCTGAAGTTCTGCATCTTTGAACGTTCCATGCAATGCACCAACCCTGGGATTGCCTTCCTCTTCACAAGCACAGAGGTTGCAAACACATTCTTGGACTGAATGGACTGCAAGGACTGCGAGACTGTAGTAGACTGCGAGGAAGGGGACTGTAGGACTGGAGTCGCATCCTCTGCCCCCTCTGGAACACTTGCCTGCGGCAGCATCAGCCACAGCTCAATGCCCAAGTCACGTTCATCACTGTACATGCTGTCGACATCGAACAAGGCCTGTGCTTTCAGGATCACTGCATTCTCTACAGTGTCCAGTTCATATTTCCACATCTGCTGGTGGGCCAGAACCTTCTGCTCGCGCTCACTCTTGCTGACTCTTCCAACTCCATGCACCGGCTGGTTCGGGGGGACAATGACATACATCAGCGTGTTGGGACTGTGAGACAGTTCGACTGCGAGCTTGCTTGTGACTTGCTTGATGACTGAACTGGCTGCATTCCC